TGTATTGACCTAATACATTTAATTGAAGTCAACGTTTCAGTTTTTTTCAGTGTGTGAATGTTTGCCACACAGTTTTTCTGACACCCAGTGTGTAATGTATGTATTATGTTGTGTTTGTGGCGTGCCGCCGCCCTCCTGTACCCGTTCCTCTGCACATTAGCTGCTCTCTGAGGCATGCAATCATTCCTCTGCAGCCTTGAACACTTGAACACTTGAGGATGAGCAGGGGAACTGGCACTCACAATGATTCATCCCTTATGTCTGTTGCTACAACTGCTATTGCTCTGGCCACTGAGAATGAAAAACTCCCCAGTTTATTGCATTATCTGTGCAACAATGGTACACTAAACTGGTGCTTTTCTTTGTAATTTAAGGATTGGTGGGAGGCTTAACAGAACAATAAAATGAGTGTGAACTCACTTATGTATAACGTCATTATGGGAATAGGGAGAATATAATTTATATCCATCCTGTACTGTAAATTGTTATGGTAAAATCGAATGCTTACACTCCAATCGTACTTCCGCTTTCTTTTAAAACTGCATCATGCTTGATCTATGCTGATGTCTACATATTTTACCTCACCGCGGCTAGAAGAATCCCTTAAAGCCCATAAACCTAGACTCAGGGGCTTCTTGCTTTCTGTTTCTCTCTTTCGAAACTCAAGATGAACAATTTCTCCTCATCAGTAATGTATTCAATGCAATGTGTTACAATAGAAAGCCTATTTTTATTGTTGTAATATATTCATCTTCTTCCGTTTATAAGTGACTGTTATTTTTTATAAATGTACTGTTGTGCCTTTTTATTTATGCCTCTTAAAGTGTGTATATGTAAACATGTGTCTATGTTTGATTATGTGTACATATAAGTGGGTGTACAGTAGGGATGGGTATCGTTTGAGATGTATCGTTTGAGATGTATTGATTCCGATTCCGATTCTGCTTATCGATTCCGGTTCTTATCGATTCTCCGTATCGATTCCAACATTTTAAAAGAAAGAGGTCAAATGTTTAGATAGCAAAAATATCTTTATTCTTTCAAGCTTTTAACTGCCTACGCCTACGTCCGTGCAGATATGTAGGCTTTCTTTGCAATACTAAAGGGTTAGTCTACCGCGTTTAGGAACCGTTAAGCAGAACCGAAATTGTGTATTTTGTATGGGTACCCGGTACCCGGCATTTTCTTATCGGTTCTCATCTGGAACCGAGTTTCGGTTCCCAACCCTAGTGTACATGTATATGTGTATATTGTTTTATATAGTTTTATTTTTATTCCTCGGGATGGCGAGAAACAGCATTTCGATATCCCTGTCTGTATCACACACACAGAATAAATTGACTGATAAAGTTGACTTTGACTATTAATTATTATTATTATTATTATTATTATTATTATTATATAAATATAGGAGGTTGTGGACATATATAAGATATTGGTTGATTCTGTTGAATTTAGCTTATTTTTGTTTATTACACTCACATGTGTAGGTTTTCTGCTGTGTTTGGCTCGTTTGCAGTGTTTCCTGCAGCAGGTTACATTATACATAAAGATGACACAGTATGCGCCTGACAAATCTTAAGCCTATCAAATATGATATTACACTGTCAGCTCTATCTGTTAGCCACTGTAAGATAGGACTTGCATGTCTTCATCTCCACCAGCCTGACTTGATCCTGCATATTCTGATTAATCTGAAATGTGACACGCAGAAACAGCAGAAAGCAGTCAGCCATGTGTCTCCCCAGCAGTTCCTCCAGCAGCGCTGCGGAAATGTGTGAGTTTCACTTTGCACCGCCTGGAAGATATTTAGTGTGTCCGCTTACAACCATTGCACTAAACTCATCCTTTAAAATAAAAATATATATAACCCGTCTAACAAGCAAAAAAAAAATGACGTTTCAATATTTATTCTAAAAGAGTTGACATGTATTTGTCTGTTCAATGAACATGTGTTGAAAATGTTTGACAGCATAGTCATATTAAAGGCACATGCTGTACATAATTCACATATGAACCTGGAAATGAGCATAGACCCAAAACAATGTTCAGTAAAGCTAATCAAATCAGACATAGGCTGGTAAAAAGCAATTTGAGTTGGCCTTCCATAAAATCTATTTTTTATAAACTGTGAATTTGATCCAATATTTACTCCTGACTTTTGCATCCAAGGAAAACTTCTCCTAGGTTTGACTGTCACCGGGTTTTTGCCCTAACTTTGTTGTACTAGGTGGTGAGACCTGCAGTAGAGCCTGCATTGTCGTCACCACTGTGGCTTGATTATTCCATTAAATTATTTCTGACAGAACATTGATTTTTTCTTGTGAGCAAAAATGTACAAAGCCGGCAAATCTAATAAATAATTGATTAGACGTGATAGCCTTGAACAGAGTTGCACTGAATCAAACACATACAAATGTTCTCCTGGTATAAAGCAGATCCACTCACAGAGTCAGAGGGATTTTACCATCTCTTTTTTTGCTTCATTCAGAGATCTTTTATACTCAGGTCTTTAAAAAATCTTGGGAAGAACATGAAGTTTGAAACTTCAGTATGTCTGTATGTCACAGAGGTGGGGACTCGAGTCGCATATTTTTGGACTTGAGACTTGCTTGACTAACATTGATAAAAGAGTTGACTTGACTTTGACTTGGTATTCATGACTTGAGACTTGACTTAAGCTTGAGATAGATGACTTGAAAGGACTTGACTGTTTAAAATGGAATATTTGCGTTTGTTTTTGCAGTAAGATATTACGCTTAGTTTTTTCGAAAAACGTGATTATAGCGCCATGTGCGAAACCTGGCAACCCACTAGAAGGCAGGAGTGTCAGTTAACATGGCAGCGGCTAGCGTTACTCCACAAATAGTCAAGTTTGGATTCAAGGATTATGTTGTTGATGACGGTAATAACAAGAGGTATGCAGGGTCTGCAGCATAAAGATCAGTGACACGACCACCACAACATCCAACTTCATTCGTCACTACAAAAAAAAACACAGAGAAAGGTGCGTGCATGTGTTGTTAGCTAGAAAGCTCACGTTAAGTTTAAGCTACGTTAGACTTGGTTTCAAATCGATTTTATTTCTCGTTTATTTCCCCTGTGTTATTATCAGAAGTTACTGTAAACTTTTGAATAATGTAGTTCATCTACTTTTAGTAGTTTGTTGAAATGTTTTAAGTTGTCCTGGGGTCATTTTTGACCCCAAAAGGAAATCGATTGCTGTCAAAAATAGGTTTTTAATTCATCAAATCGTCTGAAAATTATAGGGGTGGTTCAATACTATGCTCTTAACGATTAAAATACATTTAAAGTAATTTCATTGAAATATGGGTGTTTTATTGTATTTTATAACACCTTAAGCCCTCTGGGGTCAAAAATGACCCCGCAGGACAAAGTGGAGCAATGGGGCACATTTTTTCAGCATAATGCTGCAACAACCCCCTGGCTGCACACACANGGGCCCGCTAACTCAACGAGAGAGTAATGTCAAATCACAGTACAATTGAGCAATCATATCTTCCCTCTAAATGGGTGGGCTTTATTTTCGCGGATTTTATGATAAGTTCCGCCCGCTGTGAAGTTTATGCATGTGTATAAGTGGTGCAGTCCTAAAACCCGGAAGTAAGCTGCGCTCGGGTTCCCTCGACAAAAAAGCAATGGGATTTCTCCATAGGATTTTGGAAAATAGCTCGATCTGGTCTGTGGAAAACGAACCTGTTAGATAAATGCACGTTTTGTTCAGCCAGATAATATCCAAATGTCTACCCTACTTTTATAATTTTCGAACCATTAATGTAATCGATAGATTTATGATCGATAGATTTATGATTAGCATAAGTTCGTTCATGATGGCTCATGTCAGTGATAGTGATTACATCGTTTCGAAATTATTGACCGAGTCATTTTCAAGATTGAGTTACAATGATAAACTGGAGTGACAAAGAATCAGCTGCATGACCCCGCCATCAAGTGCTTCATCCAAAAGGACAGGAGGATGGACTTTGTGTTTAAGTGATTTGATCATCAAAGTCATTTTCAATGTGGGCCGCCGTGCCAACTTAATTCATGTTTAATTGTTACTTGGCTGTGGGTGCCCTGTCATGATAGGTGTTTGTATAAATGGTGTTGTTTTGTGAGGTAGAGGGTCGATGTCATTGATACGTTTTTGCACCCTGGGCTTTATTTTGATATTCCGCTGAAGTATACACTGTGACGTAATAACTCTTCTTTTTTTTCGAGGGAAGGGGGGGGTCAGAGGGCCTAGGTATAAAAGTCACGGCCCGCCACTGGTATACTGTATTAACCTCTTAAGCACGGCGGTCCCCCCAGTTGACCCCCCGTCCCACAGTTTTTTTTCGAGACTGTGTCACGGGGCTTCTTAACATATATGAGACTATTAATGTGTAGCACCAGATTAACGGGAAGAATCTTAGCTAACTGAAGATATGAACAATTTTTACCAAAACAAAACACAAGGGTAAAGGCCCTGACACACCAGGCCGATTTCGGCCGTTTTCGTTAGTCGGAAGACGAAGCGTGTCCTGTCGCCCAAACTCAATTTGGTGTGTCTCGCACCGTCGGCCGTGACACGCCTTATTTGGACCCGATGCATGGCCGATTCAACATGTTGAATCAGCCATGCATCGGGTCAGGCAGTCGGACAAAGCAATCACTCTGATTGGCTGTTCAGCTAGCGAATCAGTGCATGAGAAGCGAAATGGAAGTGAGGGACCCAAACAAACTATTAAGAAGGCAAATCTGAGATTTCATTTAACTCCAGCTCTCGACACAGGTTTGGGAAAGCCCCATGAGCTACTCGCTGTAGAGTGAAAATGGAACGCACACGCTATTTGTTGTTTCTTTATATCACGCAGTCTGTTCTTCTCCTCTCGGTTATCACTGCTGGTATGGAGAGTTATTGCCACTCACGCATGCGCAGTTCATATGTGCAACTTGACCGTCAGCTGAAGTGTTTGCGGTGTGTTCCAGTGCGACACATGGCCAAGACGCAGAGACGCAAGGCGACAGAAAAGTCGGGTCCGTCTGTGTCAGTTCTTTGTTGTCAGCTTCGTGTGTCCGGGCCTTAAAGCCCTACCTGATGCTCGAGTGAAATTACTTGAGGCATTTTCTTAATAAGACTTATATTTGTATCAACTCTGACCTAAATATGTATTTCAGGCTATCAAGAACACATGACTTTGTTTGTATTTCAGTTTTATATAAGAATTTACCCAGCAGAGACTGACAGGAAACATGAGCAGAGATAACAGGCAGCAAAGGCCCTCAGCTGTATTTGATACCCTTATGTCATAAACACACTTTAAAAGCTGATTGAATAACCATAGTTGATGTGATGGGCCTTAACACTGAAGATTTGAATGAGCATACATCTGAGCAGACAGCAAAGCATAAAGCTAAAGTTCCACATTTCACAAAGAGTCAATTTTCCCGCTCTTTCAGCCAGCTGGTCGAATCCTCCCACGATCTGATTTGTCTTTACATGTTCTACCCATACACGTCAACTCAGCCATTGCTCAAAAAGCTCCCTTGGCTCACATAGTGCGTCAACAAAAGCGGGCTGACCTATCTTTCTTTAAAGTGGGAGAAAGGAATAACTTAAACCGTTAAAGTTGCAATATCTTAAACTGTTGTTTCCTTCACACACGTTCCTTCTGCACGATCACCCACTCTTGGGGGATTGCCTTAACAACCCCACTCAACATGTGTTAAGGATATATCTAAGAACTCAAAACGTCGATCAACATAAATGCTCTCAATTCGACACTACAACTACCAGTTGGGCTGTTTTTTGGCATTGGTAAACTGCTGGCCCAATAACCAGTAATGCTTAATAATGTGTCACTTTACTTGTCATATATTCCCGACACAGCACCACTGGCCTTGCCACCAGGAAGCTCATCAATCTTACATGTTGTCTCATTTCACTTGGATCTTCAAATTCTGGACAATTCTGATTTCTAGAGATCCTTTGCAATTTTCTTGAAAGGTTCCTAGATTTGTTATGTTTGTCTGACCTAATTATGAAACAGCAAACCTAAAATATTTAACTACCTTTCAAAAGTAATGATCTAGATACTAATTTAAATACTACAAGTCTCATACATATCATTAACCTTCTGGATCACCTTTCTTTTTTTTTGTGGCACTGACACCAATCAACAGCTGTGCGTCGACTCGGCAGGGATCAAAGCACGTATGCCTCTCCCTGTTTCCACCGTCTACACACACAACCAAATTACATACCATCAGTAAGGAAAAAGAGTAAGAACTAAGATTTATAGGTGAAGAGGCACCACGTGTCTACGTCAATGCACTCTTATTAGATTATTTTATCAACTATAAGCTTTGTCAACAGATAGGCTGTCTGTCGCCCGAACACAAACTGGAAGCTGATTCCACAAAAGTGGAGCTTGATAAGAAAGGCAGTGTACAAAAGATTTTACCTAGAGATGTCTTTCGAAACACAAAACTAGCTGTCTTACAGCAAAGCAAGCATTTCAATTGGCATTGAGATAGATTCAGACATAACCAGTGTGTTACATAATGTTTTAGCCGTGGCATATGTATGTAAATCCCCATCTTTAGTATAAAACATGTTCCACTTTACACTTAGCATCAGACCATAATTCCAGAGCTGAGCTTCCAGTCTGAACACATATCATAAACACATTTAATCACACCCCATATCATACATACATGAAAGAGAAGAAGAAACTTCTTTCTTCCGCTATAACGACAACCGGATGAAAAAAAGGAACAATTAGAAGAACAAGGAGAAATCTTGGAGGGAGTTTGCCCTCCTTTCTTTTGTTATTCTTTCTATTTTAATTGTGTTTCCTAAGATCAGAGCATTGTGTGGTACCAGCCTCAGAGTTCAGTAGATGTGCTGACTTGCATATGAGCAAGCAGGCAGGAAGGCGGTGTGATATGCAACGGTTTGAAGTGGTAACTGGGCCCTCTGCGTCCCGCTGGCTCCCACTGCCACTATAATTGGTCCGCGAGAAGTCCACTGGGAGGAGCAGGAGAGAGTTTATTGGAGCACTTCTCACCCCAGGGCTTCTTCATGAAAACAAATCTCTCCATGACACTTTCGCCAACAGGCTCCGGACATTTTGCGGCGATAATCGCAGACAGCAGTGTGCCTGCATGTGGGCCACAATCATGCACACACACTGATATTCAGAAGCACACACTCAGAAACGTTGAGTTCATAATCATGCAGACTTCGAGAGACACAGGCTTGTTTGTATCTTATCTATGCATTCTTCAGCTAATGGACATATTTTTAGATGTCATGCATGCCGATGTTCAAACAACTCCACGCACGTACACATCAATATACAAAAATGCAAATATTACACTGAAAAAACTGAAACGTTCACTTTAATTAAATGTATTATGTCAACAGATTTCATATTAACTAAATTCAATGTTTCAGATTTTTCAGTGTAACTTAATTTTGCACAGATGCTGTATGTAACACACCTTGACATACTGCACACATACAGAAGACACATTTAGATCAACTGCTAATAACACACACAAACAGACACGATTTAAAACTGATATACACACAGAGAAGCAATTGTACCCAGGCCACACACACACACACGTTTCCCTGTTCTATTTTTGCTCTCCAACAAATGTGTCCAGCCAGCAGGACATCACAGTCCCTACAGTTGATCGGTGTCCAAGGAAGGATAAATAAATGAAAGAGGAAACAATTGGAAGCTCAGGCTTTCATCCTCAGCTCTTGGTAATTCCATCCCAGCAGCAGTGCCAGTATAACTCTGCTGCTGTCCGTAAGCTGATATCCCCTCTGGATCTTACCCATTGTCCCGTGTATCCTTTTTGTGTTATTATTAGTGTAACCTACGCCATACTGTGTGTGTGTGTGTGTGTGTGTGTGTGTGTGTGTGTGTGTGTGTGTGTGTGTGTGTGTGTGTGTGTGTGTGTGTGTGCACGTGTGTCTGCATGTGTTAAATAGTTCTCCATATGGTTGAAAGTAGATGTATGATGTGGGTGGGTTTTAAATGCATCTGTGGTGGCACTCTGTCCTGGAAAAGTGTTTGGCTATTAAATATTTACTGTAGTTGAAATGTCCTCCAATCACACGAAAACACTGGTTTGATCTCCTGAATTTAGCATTTGTTTCCTCCTTTGATGATCATCAGAATATGGCAACTACACCTGATTCTTTTATTCAAAGATTTTAAGTACCGTAATTTTCGGACTATAAACCGCGCCTTTTTTCCCATTTTTCGACGCTGCGGTTTATATAACGGTGCGGCTAATCTATGGATTTTCACAGCTAACGGCCACGAGGGGACCTCCTAAATCTATGGATTTTACAGGTTACAGTCCACCACCTTTAACTCTATGGGCTCTATGGCCGGTCCGCGCCCCCCACCTTTAAGCGGCAGGCTCCAGCAGGAAAAGCTGGAGGCCGGAAAAGAGTGAGACAGGTAGCGCGCAAAAGTAAAAGTGGAACCGAGAGTGGTCCGAGAGACAGAACGAGAGCAAGACAGACAGACATTACGAGAGCGAGACAGTTTGTCCCCGTACCACTGGTTGAAAACCACTGCTGTAGATCACTGCCGGTACGTGCGCTGGGAGCGCACCGTTTAAGTTTGAAAGTTGAAAAGTTTGTGTGTCTGAAACGCTATGTGATACAGTACAGTTTACACAGCACAGTACATATTCTGTAGCTACTATTGCACTAAATGCTAACACTTGAATACGTTATGCAAATATGCAACTTGTTTGTTGAAATGTTAATAAATGGGAGCTTCCTCAAACAGCCATCTCTTTCCCGACAATCCCCTCTGTGCACGAACCCTTACATATGGTAATTAAACATTAAAACACCTGCGGTTTATAGTCCAGTGCGGTTTATATATGTACACATCATTCAATTTAGCTGCTGCGGCTTATATTCAGGTGCGCCTTATAGTCCGAAAATTACGGTAAACAGATTCCTCATTTTCATCTTAAATCCAGGGCATTCATTTGTTATCATTCTCCTGATATGTACAAATGCATTGCATGGACATATTGGCAAATATTTGTACTGGTAAATACAATTATTGTGAAGATTGATCATCTTTGCCAGGAAACATTTTGGCCTTTTTCAAGGGGTTTGGACTCATTTTAAACAGTAGCATCTGCAAGATAATCCTATACCCAATATGTTATGATCCAGTTAGGAATGATTATTAGCTCTGTTTCTGTTATCTTGGCTGCCCTGACTGTACGGGATTATAAAGAGACAATTGAGTTGGAGTCAACTCTTCTTTGTGTGGGAGAGGGAAGAAGAAACACCGAGTGAGATCTGAACTTGCTCATAACATGTTATAGTATTAGATTATATTTAGTTTGCAATATCAATAGCACAGCTTAGAACTAAATGTACTTTTACAATAATAAAGTCCGTTACATGTGTGTTGGTGTGAAAGAGAACAGTGCTGATTTCGTGATTTGCTGCAAATTGAAAATTCCTATGATTTGGCCTTCAAGAGCAACTCATGAGCTCAGACATTTCCATTCCTAGTTTCAAAGTGACTGCTTTAGTCAAAAATATTTTTCATTTGAGAATTTTAAAACCCACAACTGTGTTGTGCTGTTTGTTGTCTGATGAATACTTGGAGCTGTCCTTTTATTGACGTTCTATACTGTATCCGATGCAGTGAACATTAATCTTGTGTTGGTCTCTCTGCAGTTCTGCTGGGTGTGCTGGGGACATGCGCCCAGACGGAGATGAAAAGGGTAGTTGGGGACAACGCCACGCTGCCCTGCCACCATCAGTTCTGGGTGGGGGACGACCCCACGCTGGATATTGAGTGGCTGCTGCTCAAGCCTACCAACAGGCAGAGAGTGGTGAGTGTCTGTCCAAAGTTGAAAGAATGGAATCTGTAGTTTGGAAATCCATATAAAAAATGGTTGTGCCATTGATTTAGGTTTTTTTATTTTTTATTAAAGTAATGCATTGTTGATACCTACAATCATGTTACAGTAAAACAAAGTTAGTTGAAGTAGGAGGGCAGAAAGCCTAGCTCGTAAAATGTGTGAGTAATCCAATTACTCCGTTTTTGGTCAAAGACCTCAAATCTACTACAACTCTTAAAATAAATATGAAAGAAAAATAAGAAAGAAACAAGAACATATTTCTTATTAAGTCTCAAAGGGAGAATACATTTGTGTATTCCGTGGGTGTTAAATTCCTAAACATTTATTTGACTTTTATTGAGAATAGTACTTGAGAATGACTTGTCTTCAGAATTTCAAGTGAAATGTAGCTGCTAAATTGCTAAAGATAGCAACAGCTAGCCTTATACAAATCTAAAACTAGCAGCACCTTCTGCTTATTTGTTATCTGTGTTTAAAAAATAAACAAACAAAAACAAATATTCTTTCAATTTTCGATTCTAAATTAAAAAAAAGTTGTTCTTTTAAACATCACTTTTTTGGAATAACCATGACATTGGTAGAATTCTGAACCATTTCTGTAATTTTTTTGTGTGTTAATTAGTTTTGAACAAAAAATCTACACACATGTAACCATATTTGTCCCATTATTTCCCCCCCACCCCCCTCCCTCCCCCCGGCAGGTGATCACCTTCTTCGCTGGACGGGTGTTCGACCCCAATGAGGTGGAGCGCAGCCGGGTATCCTTCGCTGGAGAGTACTTAAAGGGGGACGCGTCCCTGGTGATCAGCGACCTGTCCCTCATAGACTCAGGAGAGTACAGCTGCAAAGTGAAGACCGGAGCTCAGTACCACTGGAGCACCATCAGCCTCATAGTGCTGGGTACGTGTCAGACAGCTTCCATTAAATAAGAAAAAGGGTGTGAGAACACAGAACAACACTAGACCACTGGAGAAAGCTCTTAGAATCACAGCGTTAAATGTAGTGCAGCACATGTACATGTAGTACATGAAGCATTCCGATAGACCAAAGTATGTGATTTGGAATATACAGATGATAATTTGGCCTGTGACACTCTCATCTATCTGTGAAAGAACTAAAGATGGAAGAAGTGCTCAGATTCTTTACTTAAATGAAAGTTAGACACTCAATTGTAAAAATACTCTGAAACAAGTAAAGCTTTTGGCATCAAGATATATACTTATGTACCTACAGTATATAGTAGGGATGCACCGAATATTCGGCCGCCGAAAATTATCGGCCGAAAATGGTTAAAAAGGCCCTTTCGGCTTTCGGCCGAAAGAGTTCTAGCACCGAAAAAATATCACCGAATGTCAGAGAACAGGGTTACGTTGGTAAGCTAACGTGTTGTTGTGATGACGTAATCAAAACGCGGCGACAAGCACGGCGCGCGACCATGCTCGCGGCTGGCTCACAGCCAACATGTCTGCCGCTTGGAGATATTTAAAAATATCAGAGAAAGAGGCGCGGATTGCGATTTGTATAACGTGTTCAGCTGACATTTCTCGAGGGGGTGTAACTGCAAAGACTTTCACCACTTCGGGATTACTCCTGGTGGAGTAATCCCGAAGTGGTGAAAGTCTTTGCAGTTACACCCCCTCGAGAAATGTCAGCTGAACACGTTATACAAATCGCAATCCGCGCCTCTTTCTCTGANGAGATATCGTGAACTAAGTTGAGATACTGTGGGTTAATGTGTTTAATGTTTCTTGAAGGTGATGGACCCGTTTTTGGTTTTGGCTTTCGGAAAAGGGTGGCATGGATCACTAGAAAATCGACAGCTTTATGGTCCAGAAATTGGGAATCTCAATGACAAGCAATCGTTAATGGGAAAGTGAAGCAGTGCAGCAGGAGTAAGCCTCCCAGTAATGTGACCTTCTGTTATGATGTTGGGAGGTTGACATGTTGTTTGAGGTATCGACGGCACGTTCAGGAGTCGAGATTAACATAATCCTCGCAAAACACAACAGAAAAGGTCGTCAATGTGGATGTTAAGTTGCTAAGAGCGAATAACAGTAGGGGACATTGCACATACAGATGTTAGTAGTGATGAAAATTCAGGGAAAAAATCAGCAGAGGGCTTCGGCGGTCTGTAGATGGAAATAATGATGATGGGTTTGGGGCCAGTGAGTTTTACAACTAAGCATTCAAAAGAGGAGTGATGGGGGACAGTGACAGCAATGACTTTAATGTTTTCACGGTGAAACACAGCAAGCCCCCCCACTCCCAGTGGCACGGGGTTTACTAATAAAAGCATAACCCGGAGGGACAGCTGCATTAAGCTGGGAGAAGTCATCAGACTGTTGCCAGGTCTCAGTGAGGCATACAAAATCAAGCTTTTTGTCCATAATGAAGTCAGAAACCAGCTGGGCCTTATTGGTGAGGGATCTTATGTTAAACAGACATAGTTTCAGACAGGTAAGTTGTGCGTATGTGGATGCTTTAGACAGGGGGGATAACACACTGTGATTGACAGCACGGGAAGTGTGAGGGGGGCGTGGCTCAGTGGACCAGAAAGAGTGGATTGTTTTGTTATTGCTGTGTTTTGTGTACTCAAAGATTCGTCCAGATCCACGGTGAATGTATCTTCGTCGTTTGAGAATAGTAGAGTGTTGGGCAAGCAGAGCTGGAGGGGTCCTGGAGTAAGACCGGAGATGTAGCAGCTCCGTTGCAGAGTAACGCAGCGGAAGGGACGTATCATGTTGTTTCATACAGGCTAAATAACTGGATGACAGTGAAAAATATAACATGATTTCCACAGTTTGAATGAAAATGTAAGAGAACTGATTGGGGAGCAGTCCGGCTCTATTGCACCTTAGCCTATCACGTCCAATGTGTTGGAGCGCTAGCCAATAGAAGTGCGAGTGTTACATAGTGATGTCATAATGTTAGGGATAAGGAGTGCAATGGAGGTGTTTCAGGCAGGGGGGAGGAGTGTGTGGGAGAGAAACAGCTCTTATCATGGCTGCCTCTTCTATGGTATTTAACTCAGTTAGGGACCTTCCCAAACAAATAATACTTTTCTACTGCAACCTTACTCAAAATGTTTCATAACAAGGTGATCATGTGACCAAAACTGCTTCACATTCCTGGGTCAGCTCTCTTCCCCTCCTTTCTCCCTTTTCTTTCCCTCCTGCTCCTGTTTCTCTCCTTTCTTCTCCTCTAATCCTCTTCCTGCACCTGTGTTACCTTCCTCTCCTCTCTAGCTCTTCATGTCCTCTCCCTCCCGCGAGAGACAAAGGCAATAGATGTGAGGCATTGAACCATTTAAGCTTTGTTTTCTGACTCGTTAGCTCCTCTCACACTGTGTCTGTGTACTGGCACCAGCCATTTCACATGAGCCAGCAGATAGGTATGTGTCCTGAGTCCTGTCAGCCAGAAATGGTTGATAAGGCTCCTCTCACATTTTAATCGGGATCTTTTTCTCATTCAGTAATTATATGATTAACAAACTTCCTGAATAAATCAGTGTGCCTGTTTTTATGTCACCATAACCCTAGATGACACCGTGTAAAGAAACACGATGAAAGCAGCTTCTTCCCAAATGTTGTGATGAAATGATCAGAACATCTGGTACCAACAACTACACTCATTTACATCTCCCATCTGGCTTATTATACAGTTGCGTAACGTTGACAAATGACTGCAGGATGGGTATCTACAGGGAAGAGTCAGAACTGAATTAAGTTACCTAAAAAAGGTTTTAACACATCTAAAAAAACATATTTTATTTACAAAAGTCATAATTGTTTTCAATGCCTTGAATCGAAATAAATGTTATTTTGTTTTCAAGTATTTAATCCATCTATCCATGTTAATTAGCTTTTCCAGGACCTGGAATTTACTGTAATTGTAATTAATGAATAGCAATGATATATTGTGTGTGTGTGTGTGTGTGTGTGTGTGTGTGTGTGTGTGTGTGTGTGTGTGTGTGTGTGTGTGTGTGTGTGTGTGTGTGTTTTCAGTGTGATGTGTGTAACAGCATGTTTATTTATGTGCCTCTTTCTCTCTGAGTTCAGGTGTATGACACTCCTCCCATGGTGGTGAAGGGGCCCTCTAGTGGTCGGGATATATATGACACCCCAGTAGGCTCGGACAAGCACACACAGCAGACGGTAAGGGGGTGTGTGTGTGTGTGTGTGTGTGTGTGTGTGTGTGTGTGTGTGTGTGTGTGTGTGTGTGTGTGTGTGTGTGTGTGTGTGTTTCACAAATGTACATCACAAGTTGCTTAATACTGACAAATTGAAGATGTACTGTACATGTGCGTGTACGGCGTACAGTACTGTGTCCTTACTGCGATGTTTATAAAATATGATATAAATTGATCGTCAATTTAAAGGAATAATATGCAGCATTTTCCTGGGAGAAGAATGTGTTATGACTCGTTCTAAAATCATTTGTTTTAATCATCGCCTCTGAGACACGGCTCCTCTGAGGGTGTGTTTATTTGTGCTCTAGTATTTAAAACTGACATTTGGTCTCTCTCTCTGTATCTCTGTCGTTGAGGCAGGGAGGAGCAGTACGCCTTGATGCTGTGTGTTTACAAACCGTAACATTTGTATAACAATGAAATATTTCTCCCTCTCCCTTCAGGTCTATGACTTCCCCCCCTCGGTCAGTAAAGATGTCCCTGACGCTCATCCAATCAGAGAGGAGACCTACGACGTGCCACCTCACTTTGCCAAACTCAAGCCAGTCCCCGCCCCCCCCGGCCAGTACAACCATCTCCTGGACGACGATGAGCCGCCCATTCCAGAGGATGTGTACGATGTCCCGCCCCCAATCCTGACTGACAAGCGTTACCGCGCCGACAGGGACGGGGTCAGCCAGAACCCCCAGGACATCTACGACATCCCCGCCAGCCTGCGGAGCGGGGGGCACTCCGCCCAGGACGTGTATGACTTCCCCCGGGACCGAGAGGAGAAAGGGGGAGATAACAACATCTACGATGTGCCCCCACAGGTAGGACAGTTAAAGGACAGTAACACATTTTTGGAGTTAGTGAAGTGTGTAACTATCAACATTACAATAATACTCTGTATACATTTCATATTTGTCATGGGGCAAAGTTGCGTACGTAGAGAAGCAGCCAACATAAACTAGGCTCCCTATATTCTCCACCTCAAACTAAGCTAACTATTAGCAGCTGTGCTTGTGATTCTTAATTAGCCCACGATGTACACACACATCCACACAGCACACACACATGCAACAGTGATAAAAGCCAAAACACAAATTGGCTCCTACACTGAAAAAACTGAAACGTTGACAGATTTCACAAAAGTGTATCAGGTTAGATGAAAGCAATAATATGAAGTTGAACCTAATATGTGTTATTTAAACGTAATATTATTGCTTTCAACAAACAATACAGTTATGTGAAATCTGTTTACTTAATACATTGAATTAAACTACATTTTTGAGTTGGCTTTCATTTATTTCAAAATTGTTGAACATTTACAACTTTTACATTATCATGTAGTTAGTATTTGTTGACTAACATTGCAATCATTTCCAAAAGTAAATACTAATAATAAATCATATAAATATAAAAGTAATAATCATAGTTTGTACTGATGTAATGAACCCTGTTATCTAAATACGCATACAGGACACTGCTAGCCTAGCTTGTTAGCATCTGCTTTAATCCAGATGTGCTGTGTTTCCAGGTGGTGCGTGACGCCCAGTCCACCAGTGAGGACCTCAGCCTGTCCTTCAAGCGTCTCTCTGCCTCGAGCACAGGAAGTACACGGAGCAACCACTCTGCCTCCTCCCTGGACATGGTCCCAGTCCGAGACAGCTCCTCATCCTCCTCACTTCCTGGCTCTGCTCCAGGGAAACCCCTCATCCTGGACCTGGAGCAGGCCATGGAGCGCCTGTCCCGCCTGCAGCAGGCCGTGGAGTCCAGCGTCTCCCTCATGATGTCCTTCATCACAGGAAACTGGAGAAGCTCTGCTCAGCTGGAGGGGAACCTCCCGGCCATCCACCAGGCCGCTGACCGTGTGCGCTCTGCAGTGAGGGACTTCCTGGAGTTTGCCCGGGGCGCGGTGGCTAACTCCGCCCAGGCCACGGATCGCTCTCTGCAGACCAAGCTGTTCCGTCAGGTGGGCAAGATGGAGGAGGTCTTCCAGAGTCTGATTCAGCACAGTCAGGGTTTGGACGCCATTTCCTGGTCGCACACTGGGCTCGCAGCGCCGCCACCAGGAGGGGACGACTTGGATCGGCTCATCATGACGGCTCGAGGTATCCCTGACGACGCCAAGCAGCTGGCCTCCTTCCTCCACGGCAACGCCTCGCTGCTCTTCAAGAGAAACAACCGGCAGCAGCAGCAGCTTCCGCTTCCTCCAATCCCAGGAGAGATCAGCAGTCACATGACAGGATCAGGAAGTGGGAGCTATCAGGGAGGGGAGAAGGTGCACATTCAGTCGAGACCCCTCCCCTCGCCTCCGAAGTTCTCAGCTGCAGAGGAGGAGGGTATGGAGCGGCCGTACGAGAGCACAGAGGAGGGCTGGATGGAGGACTACGACTACGTACATTTACAGGTACACACACTTTTCATAAAGCCCAGACAGAAAGAAAAAGATAGTTTTATGTTACTTACTTTAGCAATGAACTGATCACACACCTTCAGTCAGGATACTCACATCATGTGATCATGTGTTGCACTGGAGCAGAGTCCGTGAGCTGCCCTTAATACTTTATTTTTGTCAACATTTTATTTATTTTCATTTTTTTCTTTCTTTCCAACAAATATTTATACATCATGTCTTTATAAAACACGGGCCATGCAACACAATACATTGATTTTAAAAAGAGAAGACATGACTTGTGCCCAATTTAGCCGTTAGTTTATATCCATCTAAACAATCAATAAACACTTAAAACATTACATAGTCCACCAACTAACAATTATAAAATATAAATTAGCACGGGCCAACATTGTCAGTACAACTATAGAATAACAAATCATTTTTAACTCAAACTAAAATGATTGTTAAGTTGACAAGAGTGGTTATCAATACCCATTTGTAGAGAAATGCTGTAAAGCTCCATGCTATCACTCTGTTTGACTGTGTGTCGTTGATGCTGTATCTGAGAGTACTATGAATAGTTGTTCACTATTGAATGGTGCCAAGCTTTCGAGTTAGCCTTGAATAAACATTTCCTTATCCAGCTGACTGACCTTCAGAGTCACTATGTCATTACAGATTTACAGATAAGCGATAGATTTCAACTCAGAGTGATTGCAGTTCCTGTCTGTCACCACTAGAGGGAGACAGATAATTACTTTTCTTTGTCTACTGCTCTAGAAACAGAGAGATGTGTGTCCAGTGGTGTAACAGCTGTGTGTCTGTGTGTTGATCTGTCAGGGAAAGGAAGAGTTTGAGAAGAACCAAAAACAGCTGCTGGAGAAAGGCAACATCAGCAGACACAAGACACAACTGGAACAGCAACAGGTACCCGCCTTTACCCAGTCTACACAGACACCTACACACACCTACACAAACGCCTACACACACCTACAGCCTCTACACACAACAAACAGCACCATCATTAAAGAAAAGCGAGTAATATGATATATATTATAGCCGTTATATTGCTTATTCTGTGATGCACTACAAATAGGTACAGCAGTATATCTAAAATATCTACTCTGCTCTATTTGTATATGTCTACTATACAAATAAAAAAGGACATATATTTGATATATGATTGGCTTCAAATAAAGATGATATGAGCTAAGTGAGTATTCAACGCTGTGTATATATGTGCTTCAGAGATTGATAATGATTCTGTGTTTGTATCACTATCAGCATCCCTTCTGAGGTTCCACACACACACACACACACACACACACACACACACACACACACACACACACACACACACACACACACACACACATGCACACACTGGAATGTCAGATACTCAAACAGAATTAATTGATTTATAATTTACATTAAGTATTAATTGTCCCCCTCCTCTCCTCTCCAGATTAAACAGTTTGAGCGGCTGGAGCAGGAAGTCAGCCGGCCAATCAACAACGACATGACGGGCTGGGTCCCGCCCCCACTGCACCCTCCAGCCAACCAGCAGGCCCAGAATGGCTCTGGAGGCTCCTCCTCCTGCTCCTCTTCCTCCAAGCTGTGCCACGGCGACCGGCAGCTCCTCCTCTTCTACCAGGAGCAATGTGAGCAGAACGTCACCACGGTAACCAACGCCATAGACGCCTTCTTCACTGCCGTCAACTCCAACCAACCTCCAAAGATCTTCGTGGCGCACAGCAAGTTCGTCATCCTCAGCGCACACAAGCTGGTGTTCATCGGGGACACGCTGTCCAGGCAGGCCAAGGGCCCCGAGGTGAGGTCCCGCGTGGGGCAGAGCAGCAACACGCTCTGCGAAAAACTCAAAGACATCGTGATCAGCACCAAGACGGCGGCGCTGCAGTACCCGTCCCCCGGAGCCACCAGGGAGATGACTGACAGGGTGAGGGAGCTGGCGGGGTGCACGCAGCACTTCAGGATGGTGCTGGGGCAGCTGCTGGTGATGTAGGGGGGGGGGGGGCAGTGACATAAACTCAGAGTCCCAGGAACACGGGGCAGAGACTCCCCCCCCCGGAACGAAGGGATGGTACGCCCCTGCAGCTCGGGGTAGGAGGACCTGTGGAGCCCCTCCAGTGTGGGGTGGAGACCCCACATCCACCCTCTGCTCCCTTCCTACCTCACCTTCCACTGGGACCATTCCTCCCCCATCCCTCCTTTTTATTCTACTCAAAGGAACATTTGTATTTTCAGTGGGCTGGGCCAATGGTTGTAAAATAATCACTGTAAATATTTAAGTTACTGTTAAGTCAGAAAACCAAGAAAGAAAAAGGACTTCCAGTATATAAATATAAATATATGGTTCTTTTTTGAAGAAGAAGAAGAAGAAGAAAGAAAACATGAAAACATAAGTGTAGTTTTTAGACAACATCAATAATTGTTATTATTATTGCTATACCGTATAATTCTGGCTGATTCCTGATCCGTGTATCGTTGTTGTTATGGATGTGTAAATTCCAGATGATATGTATGACTGTATGTTGTAGTACATCTATGCTCTTCTCCATCCCTGACAAAGGCACACTTTCCAAAAAGCACTGGAGCACACGGCCATCTTGAACGTTTTGCCGCGCTGCAGTGAGTTTCACACTGATTACAATCGAGCAGTGAAGGCAACACGAGCCCTGCACAGGTCCACTGATGCAGGTGGGAGCTGATCCAGTGCCCTCTCAGTGGCTTTCTGAGAAACTATATGTAGGTTGTTTTGTAAGAGGCATGTATTAGAGAAAAGGAGTGTAAAAGGTTCAAATCTAGAATTGAAATTAAACCTGCTTTCCTCTTTTCTCTGAAACTGTGGTATGGTCGTTTCTTTCAAATATTCAAAACTGAGGATCAAATGTGAGTAATAGGTGAACCATACGGTGGCCGACAGGTGCAAACGCGATGCAACCGCCCAAAGCTTTTCCATTAGGAGGAACCGCACAGAAGTTTCACGATGCACATATAAAAACAGGAAATGTGCAAAAACACATGCAAATGAAGAAACATCTTCACCAAGCTCTCAAAACATGCAGAGCATTTAATCAAAGCGCAGCTTAAACAACGCTGCTAATATATCTTTTTTGATTTGCATCGTTTTTGAAGCGGCAGCGTGTTTATCCTAATGGAAGTGTTCTTGGCCGTTATAATGAGTTTGCCCGTGTCAGCCACCTCAGTCAAGGCCAAGTGTCAGTGCTTAGCAGCTGCATCTCGGGAAGACAAAAACTGTCTGAAAATGTGATTGAAAACGTACAATGTCCGTCGCAAGTTTTACATAAACAATGTACCCAGGCCCGGTTCCAGAACAAAATGACTCAGGGTGCATCTGAGATTAGAGAGGGTGCAGTGGTAAAGTGCTATTTTTATAAGTAGGGAGGGGACCTAACACCCTCTAGGGGGTCCTCACCTCCTCCAGGGGGGTCCGGGGGCATGCTCCCCCGGGAAGATTTTTTGTAAATATTGAAGTTAAAAGCATCAATCTGGTGCACTTTTAGAGCAACATGAAGAGATCTATGGATCTAAGAGCTCTTTGCTTGATTCATGCCTTCCCAGTCCCTTATCACGTAGCCTATGAGAGCATGGCACCAGTTGTTGTACCCAGTTGTGGTGAAGGCATCTGACTTACTTGAACCGAAATGTCTACATGCATAGAAGATAGCATATTTTTTACATGAATATTCCAGCCAATCTCTGTTTTCAAACCATGAGCTGCAAAATTACCCCACTGAACAGGCGAGTTGGGTACTTTTTTAAATATACCTGGGCAGGCTCTGTTTTGCCGAGGTCCTCTGGCACTTGCGGGCCGCTGAGGGGTGTCGGTGTTTGGGGCAAAGACGGCTGTGACTGCTCCGCCTCCGTGGGCGAGGCGGGCAAAGCCAGAGTCAGGTTAGTGTCCACGACAGTGGCCGCGGGTAACGTAATGTCCCCATGATCTGAACTGTTATTACCTGCAGTAGATGCAGTGTTACTGCTGGCCATAAGGGCTGGTTGTTTTAACCATTTGCTGAAGTCCATAACTGACTGCTGTGTAAGCACCTTCCAGATGACGAACGCGCAGCGGCACAGGTCACGCACACCTGACATTATTACATTACTTACCGTTTAAATTGACCAAATAAATGCAGCAGACCATGTTATTTAATCAACATTTAACCATTTAACCACAATTACAATTTTTTTTATTTCAACTAAATTATTATTATTATTATTTTTTACTTTTTCAAATGAGGGTACATAACGACTCAACTGAGGGTGCAATGCATCCTTGTGCACCCCCGTAGAACCGGGCCTGAATGTACCATATAGATATTCAAAAAGGGAAACTCCGGATGACTATAAGTTGTGTCACATTATCTGTTCCTGCTAGAAACAAAGGTAGATGACTCTCCATTGTTAGCACGATTATCACAGCAGTTTCATCTGAACAGGGGAATTTAGCTTGCACTGTGCTTCCTGAATGTGTTATACCTCCAACTAGCAATATGTGTTGTATGTGTGTGTACTCTTAGTGTGCATGAATCAACAGCTACCTAAAACTCATGTGTCAGAAACATTTTGGATGACTTGTTACGGGAATAGAATCAGATCTCAGGGCTCAGGGAAGTTGGTGTGACTGGAACAGATATAAAGTCTATAGGCCTACGCTTAACAAGAAAGGGATTTTTTTTCTTCAGTTTTATTAAGTTCAGTTGACTTTATTTCTGACAGGTAATAGTACCCCGGCCTATAAGATACAGGTTGATTTCAGATGTGACTCGATCTTTTATACGGTGGTTGTCATGCTGACTGCTACCAGGGGATTGTGTTGCCCTCCCAGTCCAGGAGCATCCCAGAGTGTTTGTTGCTGAGTGATGTCAGGATACTGAGCATCCCCCTCACGCTGTCCTGGGGGGTCAGAGGAGCCTGGGGGAGACGAGACAAACAATCACAAGAAAAAATAAAGTGAGTAGAAGTCACGGGACACAGTTCCCCGCGAAGGCCCCCACCCTATAGACGAGCGTCTATAGGGTGGGGGCCTTCGCGGGGAACTACCGGGGGCCACTGGCACCCCTTCTCCACTGAAACCAGTTCTGCTGCATGAATTCAGAAGGTGGTCTGAACTACCCAGTCACTCCCCCTTAGCTCACCTTTTCCCCCCCCATCGTCGTGCGAACCCATCCGGGGTGGACCGCGGTCACCAGGATGTTGTGTCTCCTGAAATCCTCAGCTAGACAGCGAGTCAGCATGTTCAGCGCAGCCTGGTGACACACAGCAGGAGAGCAGGGGGTTATATTGATTTCTAAAGCAAGATGGATACCTGTTTATGAAACTATCCACAAACATTAAAGGTCTCCTATCATGCATGTTCTTTATTATGTCTTTAATACATAAATATGTGTCCCCAGTGTGCCAGGGAACTCACAAAGTGTCAGAAAACAAACCCCTCTCTCTTTTCCTCCGTATCCAAATCTCTAAAAACGGGAGTACAACGGAGCTGATCCAGATTTGTGTCCGATATGACGTAATATCTGAAATGTGGACCCATGGTACTATCAGAAAGTTGCTATCAGAAAGAATGCACAACGTTTTGGAAGTAATATGGTCTTTGTTTACATTAGCAAGCATCGCTAACACTCAGAGCTAACCTGTACTGGAGAGAGTAGGCTATGTGTAAAAAAGCAGGAAATAAAAAGGTACTCGCCTCGTGGTAAACCCGCAAGAGAAAAAGCATTTGAGCTCCATACTGTTTCAGAAATAATCCATGATGTGTGTTAGAGCCAGTATTTTGATTTTATAAGCAGGGTTGCCAACTCTCACGCATCTGGCATGTGACACACGCTTTCACTCTCAATCTCACGCTCTCACGCTGCCCAAACTATTCTCACGCCAAAAACAAGATGAACCGGCGATCGTTTTTGGTTGGTTATTTACCATGTTGAGTTGAAAGCTGAGCTGCTCAAGCTGTCGATCCGCCCCCACCACTCTTAACAACGTTAACAGACAGCAGAGCAGTGAGGCCGGTTGGCCAATCCCCGACCCGTATTGCGCATGCGCAGATCTAAGATCCAGTAGTAATGATAAAAAGTAAAAGTCTGCTGCTTATTGTTCTACTAGGCCAAAATAGAGTCAAAGAGTATATGAGAGTGAGAGTGTGTTAATTAATATATTTGGAAGTTTGGAGAGAGTCTGTAGATGTGTTTGTGTGTGTGTGTGTTTCATGTATAGGCCTCTCACGATAATTAATTTTGTTGGATACATTTTCCCGGAATTTATTGCGATAAACGATAATATTGTCGGCATTATATTATTATATGACCATTTTAGATCACTCTAAATTCTATGAACCCCAAATATAATTCAAAGGATTAGACTGTGACTTTTGACAGTTCACGGAGTGGTCGGTGCTTGGAGTGCGACAGTTGACGATAAGGTAGAGGTAGGTAAATTCGGATCACGATATATACAAAATATTTAATAATTTTCACGATAATATGTTTATGTATTGTAAATGTTCACATCGGGATTATGCTAATCGAGGTCCGTTTGAGTAATTTTATATATCGGATGAGGACACACTGATGGAGTGAAGTTTTATTCTAATACAAGGTAGCATTTTATGCGGACGAATGGTCTTTAACTTTGTGCTCTCGTTTCTATATTAATTACTCATTTTAGGACTTGTTGGACTTGATGGTTCCGTTTTGGTGCGTAGTTGTGATGCCCAATAGTCTTCCCTGTTTTTAGCTTATTTGTTTACTTTCGTCGCATACGACTTATCCTGATCCGCCATACGACACGTTCTCTCCAAATGTCATTCGTATTTAACTCAAGCGTAACTGCCGGTGTTACGAACATTTTCTGCGAGGCACGTTTCCCAGTGGGCGTGTGCAATGGTGTGGCCCGTCGGCGGTCACGTATCTCAATATAGGCTGATGCCCTGCAATGATTGGGCCGCACCGCCGCACAGCGGTAAAAGCTTGGGACTATTTAAGTGTATTTTAGTCGACTGGGTCGCGTATGGCCCGTGGAGTCTAGATGTCCCCGTGCACGGGGCACTTTTCCCAGGAGCGCTGCGGCTACTCGTCGTCCGGAAACAAACACTATAAACACTCCGTCCACCAGGCACTCACAAAAAAAATAAACTTCACCAGAACCATACTTTTCAAACTCTTGGTGACGCGTCACCTTACAGGTTTACCTCGGAGGCTACGTCCCTTTAATTTATGTCTACGATCAGGCGAGGGACTTTTTACAAGGTGTGCATAAGTATTATATTATTAAAAATTTACGTAAAAAAAAAATTTACCTATTTTTTTTATTTTGTGAGCCAGAGCGCTGGGGGTGAAACCCTTGGGACGGATTACGTGACAGTTTTCTGGTTCGATGACATAGCTCCGTATAGATGCCGAAACGGGTAACCGTCGAAACCAACCTTATTTAGGACTCGTGGAGTGATGATCATGCTGTTCCACATCAACCCAATCGACTATATTTTCTGCAGTATATACATATTGTGTGTCCCAGCTCAGGACTTGTGTGGATGTAGTCCAAGTAGCTGGGTGTCGTCGTGCAAATCACCATCACTACTCGACACCTAGCTCCTTTGTACAGTCTCTTGAGTTTTCGTTGTAAAATCACGCCCCGGTGGCTCCGTAACCCGACCGCGACCAGTATGTCGACCCTCTCTGGGGGCCTCTCCCTCCCAGTGTAGATGGGACGACGGCCCTGGGGGTCCCCGGTCCCCGAGTCCACTCTGTGAGTGTGCTTTTGGACATTTTGGATGTGTGTGTGTGTGTGTGTGCGTGTGTGTGGTTGTGTGTGTG